CCTGAGGAGGGCCTATCGCAACTGGAGCTGGAAACAGCCACACGGGTTGTCTTCGGCACACCGGAAAATCCTCTCCCCGGGCCCGCATCCCAGCACCTCCAAGGGATGCTTCGCGGCGTCGGTGTCGGCACCTTCGACGCACATGGCAACCCATGGCCCTACACCGAGGAAAAGGCGGCAGAGATCTACGCTCATCGACGCAATTCGAAACAGAAACTCTCGCCGGCGGACGAAGAGGCACTGGCGCAACGCGAAGCCGAAGAGCTTCGACAGAAGAGTCTCACTGAGGCGCGCGGAACGCTCGCTTGGGAGGATGACAACGAGAGCGCCTCCAATGAAGGGGGGTGGGGGAGCGCTGGCGGCTGGGGAACAAGTGACACAGGCGGCTGGGGAGCCGCAACCGGCGGTGACACAGGCGGCTGGGGAGCCGTAACCGGTGGCAATACCGGCGGATGGGGCACAACATCTGGCGGAGAGACGAGCGGCTGGGGAGCTTTCCGCGAGGATCAAAGGGGGGAAGAGGAAGAAGAAACTGCGCAAGTTGAGGTCGAACCTCCTGTTGTTCCTCTTGGACGCCCTCCGCGCCGCCCTGCATTAGCACCACCGCCACCAGACATCCCTTCAGGAAGTGACCCCTGGGACACCATTGACTGGGGTAACGAGCCATCTACCCCGCGACGCACTGTCTACGGACCTGCCCCTGAACCACGCGAACCGACATTTGTCCCTGGCATGATCCCCGGAACCAACATCCCCTACTCCATCATTCGCGACAGGGAATTTCTCGCCCTAATGTTAACAACGGCGAACGAAGAAGAAGAAGAGAACGAGGAAGCAGCGGCGACACCTGCTCAAGCACCTGATGAGGACCCCGCAGAAGCACTCGCGCGCCACACGCGCACCTCCGGTTTTCGCGCCGACGATGCCATCTGGCACCAACGCCTAGGACACCCTTCGCACGTGACTCTAAAGAACTGTATCGAGGCTGGCGTCTTCGCACCTGGCGCACTGCTGCGCCCTGACGGCTCCGAAGTAAGAAGCGGAACTCACCCGCGCACCTGTACCGTCTGCCCCGAGGCTGCGCTGAGTCACCATCCCTTCCCCCTGTGTGAGCCAGGAACCAACCGCTACGCCAAGCTAGAGAAAGTTTACAGTGACTTCCTCAACGTGGGACACTGCGGCATCAACGACAAACTCTACACGTTCACCTTCGTCGACGCTGGAATGCGCCACGTGTGGGTCGTAAACGTGGAAGCGCGCAGCAGATCATACGAAGCATTCCGCCTGTGGCTGGCCCACGCGCAGCGGCAATTTGGGGAGAAGTTGAAGATCTGGCAGTCCGACGGCGCGGCGGAGTTCAGGAGCAAGGAGCTGCAGGACTACCTTGCGCAAAAGGGGATCGAGCATCACATTTCCCTCCCCTATGCACACCAACAGCAGGGCGTAGCAGAGCGCACGGATCGCACTCTCATGACGAAAGTGCGAGCGCTAATGAGGCAGTCGAAGCTTCCGCCGATCTACTGGACCAACGCAATGCACCACGCCGTACGGGTGCACAACCTACTGTCAACCACCGCGATCACCGGCAACTCCTCACCGCACGTAAAGTGGACGGGGAGGAAGGGCGACACATCCATGCTCCGCGTGTGGGGATGCATGGTCCAGTACCGCCCGCCAACATCAACCATCGGCAAGTTCAAAAGCCGCGCGCGCTGGGGGGTCCATCTCGGGAACAGCCACGAGTACAAGGCGTGGATCATTCTGGATCTCCTGAGCCAGAAAATCAAGAACACACGCGACGTCATCTTCTACGAGCGCCTCTTCCTCCAGCAGTTCCGCGAAGACGAGCAGACGAACGCGAACCGCGTCTACGCCAACGACGGCCACAGCTACGCCTCACCTGAGGACGAAGCCGCAGCAGCAATTCTGGAGCAGGACCCCAGAGGCGAGTTCACGAGAGGCGATCGACGCGACGACGACGACGACGATGATTCAGGAGAAGGAGGAGCGGGCGCAGCAGGAGGCGCAACAGGAGGAAGCGGAAGCGGAAACGGCGCAGGAGCAGCACCATCAGCCCCACCAGAACCAGAAAGCGACGACGACGATGTGCAGGAGGTCATCCCGCAGCATCGCCACGACAGCACCGTCACCGGAATGCAACTCCTCGGGCTCCATGCTGCCATCTCAACGGCGCCATGTGTCATCGAGCCTAAGAACCCACGGCAAGCACTCACGGGACCTCACAGCAAGGAATGGTGCGAGGCAATGGATGCGGAGATCAGGGCACTCGAGTCACGCGACACCTGGGTACTCGTCGACCGTGCAGCAGTGAAGGGGAGAAGGATTCTTTCCGGCAAGTGGGTCTTCCGCGTGAAGACCGGAGCTGACGGGACGATTGAGCGCTTCAAGGCGCGCTGGGTAGTACGCGGCTACGACCAGAGGCACGGGATCGACTTCGATCAAACGTTTGCACCGGTGAGCCGTCACACCTCCGTCAGGATACTCCTCGCCATCGCAGCCGCACGACATCTGCCGCTCCGACAAATCGATGTTAAGAACGAATTCCTGTACGCGCTCGTAGATGCAGTGATCTACGTGGAGCAGCCGCACACATACGGCGAAGGAGATTCTCGGGTCTGCCAGCTGCGGAAGTCCCTTTACGGGATCAAACAGGCGCCGAGACTCTGGCAGCAGTACCTGCACAACATACTGCTTGAAATCGGGTTCAAGCAGCTGCCTCACGATCCTGGGATGTATCGCCGCGATTTCCGCGGCGAATACATCCTACTCACGGTCTACGTCGACGACCTCCTCTACACAGGGTCAAGCAACGAGCTTCTTGATCAATTCGAGAAAAACCTCGCAGGGCGCGTCGACATCACCTGCAATCATGACGTGAAGCAGTTTCTCGGGCTCAACATCACTTACTCGCCGGAAGCCATTCATCTCTCAGCAGCGAAGTATGCAGAGGAGCTTAGCAAGCGCTTCAACATTGCGCCTGCACCACTCTCCACCCCTTACCGCACCCCAGGACCCAACCACAAGCCTGACAACAAAGCCCTGTCCCCTGCTGGGCTTCACACCTACCAGCAACAGTTGGGATGCCTGCTTTTTGCATCTGTTACCTGCAGGCCCGACCTTTCCTACATCGCGAGCCAGTTGGCTCAGTACTCTCGCAAACCAACGGCTGAGAATCTACTAGATCTCCAGCGGGCGCTCCAGTTCTTCATCTCCACGCCCAGCATCGGGCTCTGCTACTCCACCATCCCAACTTCATCCTTCAACCTCATCGGCTACGTGGACGCCGATCACGCCGCTGACCCTGATAATCGACGGTCCAGGACAGGCTTCCTTTTCCGTCTCGAGCCCAGCGGCCCCATCTCCTGGAATTCACAGAAACAGGAGCTGGTTGCCCTGTCATCAGCCGAGGCTGAATTCATCGCAGCAACAGCAGCCGTTCGCGAAGGCCTCTACCTTCAGGAGCTGCTGCAGGAGGCGAAAATTCCAGCCTCGACGAATTTTCGCCTACACTGCGACAACCAGAGCGCGATCAGGATCGCGAACAAGCCGGGATTCGTCAATCGGACCAAACACATTGCGCTGCGGTACTTCTTCGTCAAGGACGAAGTTGACAAGGGCAAGGTTGACCTAACCTACTGCCCGACAGGTGACATGGCAGCTGACTTCCTCACGAAGAAGCTGTCACGTCAGCAGTACCAGCACTGCTCCAAACTCAGCGGGGTAGTCAAGCGGGTCAAGACTCGCTACGGCCAGGAGTGAAGGGGGGTGTTACGAATAGTGATTGTTGAAACACTATTATACACTCCTCACCGCAGCAATCGAAGCACGCTCTACCGAGAACGAAGTCGGACAGGCGGAGGTGACACGAAGAGTCACACGGTTACGAAAGGATCTGAACCGCCGGGCAGACAGCATCAGGCAGCAGCAGTGGCGAGGATTCTGTCCGAACAGTTTCGTAACTGTCTGGAGTCGCACGGTTGGATTTCGCTGCAATAAGGGAATGTGCCCCTTAGAGTACATGGCTAGCTAGGTCGATTGGTATTCCCTTGTAATCTTATTTATATCCCTTGTACTGCATGTTTTTATCATCTCAAGCATTTACATCCACTCTGCTATTGAAGTCAAGGGCCCACCACCATTAGATTAGGTTTGTGCGAACCTTCCTGAGGTGATCCTGAGGGTGATCAACTTCTGATCGCAACACTTTTCATGCATGGTTACGACGAACGTTCTAGATGTGGATTGAATCCCATTTTGAAAAAGCTTCAACTTAATGTTAAAAAAAATACATTTCATTTTTGCCATTTTATACGGTAAACTCCGGCGCTTATAAATTTCCTCGATTATAAGCGCACCCCCTAAAAAACAGTGTTTTTTTATACCCCCAGGGGCGCTTCTATCCGGGGGCTGACGGTATATAGGGAGAATCCTAGCTAGGCAGGAATGTCGGGCGAAGAAGGGTCGGAAAGGTTGCGATTGGTGCGAGGGGCGACTCGGGAGTGGTTCGGTGCGGAAATGAAGGCCGAACGAAACTGATGTGTGGCCCTCGGACTTGTACTCGCTAAGGGCTGCTACAGTAAGGATTTCTAAATCCTTACACTACCGGTACCAAGACTGACAAATCACTCACCCCGAAAACAAATCTGAGAACTGTATATCACAGTCTGGGATGCTCTCAAAAAGGCTTACCGGTAAGTCAATGAAACAAGATTCTCCCAACTGATGTACCAGACACACTTGAACACTAGCAAGGGCCCTGCTGCTGGACATTGTGCCCCTGTTTTTTTTTTTCTTAGCCAGAGTTACTATGGTACTATCACTCCAATGAATGCCAATCATTCCCAAAAAGCTTCCTGCATCTGTTGGATGCATGCAGAAGCAGCTCATATCTTCGAAGTAGCACACTCTTGATGACGGAAAAAATCATAAGTATCAGAGCAGCACTTGGTGGGGGCTGAACAGCGGGGCCACGAGTGGGCTCAGAGCTTCAAGTCAACGACAGCAGCGCAGAACCTGGCAGCCTCGGGGGAGAGCAGCGAGGCGGGCAGCACGCGACAGAACTCCTCTGGAGACAGCTCCTGCACCTCAGAGGCAGGCTCGGGTGGCGGAGCCACGGGCTGCAGGTATGGCAGGAGCACGGCGCAGGCAGAGATAAAGAAAGAGAGGCACACATTGAGGTGGGTGTGGTGGTGAGCACACAAGCTTAGAGATGCACAGGAAGATAAAGCGTGTCGACACAAGTCTGGAATACTGAACTCAAGGCTTGTGTTGTCATGAGATGAGGAAGGGCGGGGGAGAAGGAGACAGGGATTACAGGTGGTGGATGGGCAGATAGCAGCACGCATAGGAACACATTTCTTGCAGGTGGAAATGGGGAAGGAGGGTGGAAGGAAGGTTGCGTGGGACGTACCTCAGCAGGGGCGGTGATGGCTGGCGGCGGGGAGGAGGGGGCGACAGCAACAGGAGAGGGCATCTGCATGGGCATGATGAGAGGCAGCACGGCCACACCTATGCCCGCCACCAGCACGTTGCGCAGGAACGCAGCCTGCTCTGACAGCCCGTCCGGCTGCTGCTCCTGCGACGCGTCCTGTGAGAGGAACAGAGCGATGGCCTCTTGGATCGAGGGCGCCTCCGACTCTGCTGCTGCGGTGGACTGAGCGGGCTGGATGGCCGTGGTGCCGCCCGCAGGGACGTCGGATTGGAAGGGGAGGCGGATGCCGGAAGAGAAGGGTGTGGCCGTGGCCGTGGCTGTGGCGGTTGGCACTGCTGCTGCTGTCGCAGCGGCGGTGGCAGTGGCAGCGGCAGAGCGAGGAGGGGTGGTGGGTGCAGAAGCGAAGGTGGAGGGGGGGTCGCTGGCAGTGCTGTGAAGGGGATTGAGTGGGGCCGGGCACAGGGGGAACCGGGAGGGCAGGACTTCAAATGAATGAAGACTTTTGGAGTGGCACAGTCTTGCACTTGCTAGGATTAGGGAAGAATGAGGTCGAGGAAGCGAAAGGGAGAAGGGAACACATGGAGCAGAATACTAATCACAAGGCCACATTTTCGGGATTAGAGGCACCAAAAGAAAGCAGAAGAAAGGTGTTCCGTGGCATCAGCACGAGGATCAGCAGTGAGCGCCAACAACATCCCCACTACTTCTACCACCCGTCACGACTCTTAACAATCTTAAATCAACCCAGTCGCCCCACCCACCCACCCGCCCGCCCTCCCACCCTCCCGCCCGGCCCACTGACAGCAGCTTGACGAGCTCGGCCTTGGTGTCGCCCCTGAGCCCCCTCTGCCTCGCCATGGCCCTCAGCTCCGCCAGTGGCCGCCCCTGCAGCTCCGCCGCGCGCACTGACGCCGCTGCCCGCACCTCCGTCACCCCCGCCGCTGTTGCTGTGGCCGCCGCGCTGGGGAGCGGGGCGAAGGGAGAGAAAGAGGGAGGAGTGAGGATTCGAGAATGAAGGAGAGGTCGGAATAGAGGGAAGATGCAAAGGTGGAAGGGGGAGAGGGAGGGGAGGGAGGGGAGGGAGGGGAGGGAGGGGAGGGAGGGGAGGAAAGGGAGAGGGGAGGGGAGGGAGGGGAGGGAGGGAAAGGGGGGGAGGGAAAGGGGGGGGAGGGAGGGGAGGGAAGGGAGAGGGGAGGGGAGGGAGGGGAGGGAGGGAAAGGGAGGGGAGGGAGGGGAGGGAAGGGAGAGGGGAGGGGAGGGAGGGGAGGGAGGGAAAGGGGGGGAAGGAAAAGGGGGGGAGGGAGGGGAGGGAAGGGAGAGGGGAGGGGAGGGAGGGGAGGGAGGGAAAGGGGGGGGAGGGAGGAGGAAAGCAAGGAGCAAGCCAGCTGCCACCGAGAGATGGGACAGTGAATTGAAAGCCGCGAAAGCATGGAACACGTTCACCCTTGCTAGCTCTTCTCTCCCTTCTCCCTCCCCCATCCCCATCCGCACCCCTCTCCGCGCGTGACTCACACGAGCGCGCGCACGAGCTGGTCCTTGCTGGAGACGGCGGGCGTGATGCCCTTGGCGGTAGCCATGGCGCGCAGCGCGGACAGCGGCCGCGCCTGCAGCTGCCGCGACAGCGCCTGCGGGTTCACGCCCGCCGCCGCGGGTGCGGAAGCGGAGGCGGGTGCGGGCGCGGACGGGGCGGCGGGGGCAGGAGGGGGGGAGGAAGCGGAGGGTGCTGCGGCGGAGGAGGATCGGGATGTCGTGCCGCTGGTTTCGGTGGGGATGCACGAGAAACGAGGGAAGGGGCGGGGGGTGAGGGCGAAGAGAAATGAGTCGGGGAGCACATTTTCGTACTGGACATGTCGGGAAAGGCGTTAATGCGACTCAGGAATGTGAGGGGGGATTAAAGCCTTTAATTTCCATAACAAGACGACCGGACGGATTGGGCACGCATGGCATGGAAGTGGTTGAGGGGGGTTTTTGGAATCGGTTCAAGGACAAACGCACAACCTACCGAGATCCCGCATTGCACTCACGCCCCGTCGTCCCCCTGCCCCGACAGTCCATTCCCTTGTCCCCCCATCACCCCGCCCAACCCTCCCTTCCCCCTTTCCGCCCCTTCCCCCCTTTTTTCCCTCCCTCTCCCCGGGGCTCACAGCAGCGCGCCGATGAGTTCGTCCTTGGTGTTGCCGCGCAGCCCCTTTTGCCGCGCCATGGCGCGCAGCTGCCCCAGGGGCATCGACTCCAGCTGCCGCGCCAAAGCGCTGCTGTTACCCGCAGGGGCGGCGGCGGACGGCGCAGCGGAGTACTGCGCAGCAGGGGCCGGCGGCGGCGCGGCTGCCGGTGCAGCGGGCGCGGCGGCAGGCGCACCGGACGCGGCACTGAGGCTGAAGGCCGGGGGGAAGAGGAGGGAGGAGAGGGGAAGGTTAGTCGTTCCGCGTGTGCAACAGCACGGTTGCCACGTAGTTGCTTCGCTCACCAAACAACACACGAGGCGATGACGATTTCACAGGAGCACAGGGCTTGCACGAGGGTCACTTACAGGAGCGCCGCGACGATCTCCGCCTTCGTGCTGCCGAAGATGCCACGGCTCCGCGCCATGGCTCGCAGCTGCCCCAGCGGCATGGCCTCCAGCTGCCGCGCCTGCGCCGACTGACTCGCCCCCTGCGCTGCGGATGGGGCCGCTGCGGACACCGGAGCGGCAGGCGTGGCGCCAAATGCGCCGTTCGTTCCGCTGCAGTGGGGAGGACGATTGGGGGAAGGCGGGATGAGAGAAACGATATGAGAAAAGCAAGTACGAGGGGACCGGGGAAAGGAGCGGGGAGAGAGAGACTGCGCAACGCCAAGCCATGGAACTGGACCTGCTCTCGCGGCAGAGGTAACGCTGACTTGCGGTGCTTTCGCGCACGCGCTAGCGGGCGTCGCGGCGACAGCACCCGCTGCTGCCCGGACGCCCGTTGAATCAGCGTGCGGTGCCGTTGCTAACTACCCGCACTCGCACGAAAGAGGGAAGCAGCGAGGCTTGCCTGCTAAGCATCTTCACGAGCTCCGCCTTGGTGTCGCCGCGCAGCCCCCGCTGACGCGCCAACGCGCGCAACTCCCCCAGCGACTTGCTCTCCAGCACGCGCGTGTCCAGCGACGCGCGCACCGCCGTTGTGCCGGAGAGGGCGCGCGGCGCCACGGGCATTCTGTGTGCCAGCTGAGAGGGAGAGGAATCGGCACGACGGGACGCAGGGGAAACAAAGTTGGGGAACGAAGCGTTTGTGCGATGTCGCGTTTCAGCATTTAGGAGGCACAAAGAGACGGCCAAATAAAACCTGCAGTACATTGCGAAATTGAAGGAGGCAATGCTGACCCTGTCGAAACACTCACCATGGAAAACGCGTTGACAGCCATTGGCGAGTGTAACAAGGGTCGAAAGGCGACACGGGAAACGGAGGGTAGCTGGTCACTTCACTGCGTGCAGGGCTCCGACAGGCTGGCCTTGGACATAGGAAGGCAGTGTGAAAAAGCTTTTAGTGGTTGCACAGGTGCACGTGATTTTGTTGTGGAAAAAGGTCAGTGGAACGGGTGCGGATCATGCGGATGTGAGACACCTGATAGTGAATCTTGCCACAAACACGACCATGGGGAATAGGGGAGATGGTTGGAGGAACAGGCAGCACACCCATGTGTGTTGGAGGCCCAAAATCGTCGCACACCACATGGTCGTATGGATCGTCCATGGTAGAACATTGTCCAGATGAGTCGTCGAATCGAACCCACAGCCTCAGACGACGGCGTACGACGCCACGTGACAAGATGAGCTTTGTGTCGTCGCAATTAAGCGGTTCGGAAACGGAGGGCGGGCGATCTGACAGAACCAGAAGAGAATCGCTTTGAAAGGAGAGCAGTTGACACAGACGATCACCACGAATCCTAGCGTGCCACATCACCGTCCACTATTCAAACAGATGGACCCTGTGAACACCAAAACGGGGATCATCCGCATCTTTTGCAACAAGGCTCGATCTAAGATTTATAATCTGGTCGTAACCACATACTGCAACATGCAGATTATAAGGAACAATAAAAACTTTTTAGTGCTTCGTGTACAACCCCAACGCTCAGAAGTGCACGTTCGGCCGATTTCATCGACACCTATCCTGAATCACGTCACCTTCGGTTTTCCCCTGACATCGCTTTCTCGATGTTCCCACCTAGCTACGTTAGTTAAGATCGCTATACAATGTTGTGTCAATTTGTGTCCTTTCCGTTGAATAACTCATAACACAGCCTATCACATTGCAAACAATGTTCACATTCCTCAAGGATGTAACATTGCTAAGCTCTCAATCACAATGAGATGTATCAAAGTTGTAAGGTATGTTTCATGTTTGTGCTCTAACATTTGTTAGCCTAGGTTAGGGTTAGCTATTTGTATCACCCTGCTGCCTAGTTTATCTGATTTCGTTGTTTCTACTTCTCACATGGTATCATCGCACGTTAGATCCTAGCCTCTAGACCGCCCGCCTACCTAGCTTCTAGACCGCCCACCAGCCAGCCAACCAGAGCCAGCCAGCCCGCCAGCGCACCCTAGCCAGCCAGCCCGCCCACCAGCTGCCCGCTAGCGCGCAAGCCGCTAGCAGCGCCCGTCGCCAACAGCATGCACGTCAGCGCAGGTTCGTGTGAGAATGAGAACAGCGGAATGATGGCATTAGCACGAATGAGCAGTACAAGTACTAACCATGAAAGGGTTGTACCCCATATGGGCTACCCCACTACAGCCTAAACAACATATATGAATTTTGACAGTGCGCACGCACGCCAGTACCAGCGCGCACGCACGCCCACGCCAGCGCACGCACACGCCAGCACCAGCGCGCACGCACGCCAGCGCCTGCGCGCCCCAGAGCACGCGCACGCCAGCGCAACACGCACCGTCAGCAGCATGCGCCCCCAGCAGTGAACGCCACCAGCGCGTCAGCAGGGCACGCCACCACCCCACTAGTGCTCGCCATCACACACTAATCCCTCGCCAGCAGCACTCCCTCCAGCGGCTAGCAGCCGCAATAACTCCTCATGGCGCCTTTTAGGGTTTGTTCCTAGCCTGCCGTTCCTAGTCCGCGATTTCTAGCTCGCTGATCCTAGCCCGCTGATCTTAGCCCTTTTTCTTAGCCCGCTGTTCCTAGCCCGCCTGCCAGTCATAGCCCGCCATTTCTAGTCCGTCGTACCTAGCACGCCGTTCCTAGCCCGCCTGCTGGTTCTAGCACGCCGTTCCTACCTAGTTCCAGCTAGCACTCGTCATAGTGCCTGCCAGAGTTCTGCGTTTCAACGTAGAAGTTCGTGCGATAGATTTTAGCACGTGGCTGCTCCACGCCCAGCTTCACCTCCGGAGCCATCGTCAGGATGGTGACACTTTGTTCGCCCATATGTCGGGTGACCTGCCTACCCCTCCGCGTCCCACACCGCTCCCTGCCGAGCCTACTAAGAGACGTTTGCTAGGTGGCGCTCATAGTACTCGGTATGGGAGTCCCGCGACGCTGCCGCTCGCCTCGCTCTTAGTGACCTCCTCTCACCGGCCGAGTGCATCCACTTCACCAAAGTCACGTCAACGAAGGAGTGTTTTGACGCTATTGGTACTGGTGCGGCCGGAGGAGGTGCTAGTCCTGGGGGTGCGGCCGATAAGAAGCGGCAGCAGTAGTGGCCCCAGGAGCAGCAGCAAGTGCAGCACCAGCAGCAGCAGTAGCAGCAGCAATTCCAGCAGTGGCGACCCCAACAGCAGTGGGGATCTGGTGGTCCGGGGAACGTCGGCCGCAGCAGTGGCCGTGACAGCTGGGGGCACGCCGCGTTGGCCACGACATTGGCCCTTGCCAGTACCGAATCCTGTCTGGCCTTGATACTGGCACTACCTGCAGACGCTTCGACCACTCCGCGCTACGCAGCTTCTGTCGCCTCGACAATCTTTTTTGCGATCATTACGGGCCTCAGACGGTCCCTCCGTGGATGATGTCTATTCTGCCATGTATGATGTTGACTCTAGTGTTTTTGAATCTTTTTGCTCGCGTGTACCTACATTGAGATATTTGCCTGTTTCGAGTGTATGCGCTTATGTTTCTAGTGTAGGTGCTTGTGTTATTGCTAGGCCAATTGTGATTAATGTTGACACGTCAATCTCGTTTACACTCGACTCCGGCGCATCCCAGTGCTTCTTTGGTGACCACTCCACTGACACACCACTTCCCACGCCAGTCACCGCTTCCTTGGCGACCCCATGTCTAGACCGATTGTCGCTCGCAGTTTTACTACGCTCCCGTGTCTGGCCGTCCCCTCACGTTCCCGCACAGGTCTCCACATCCCCTCGTTCTCCAGGAACTTGGGGGCGTCGGACGCCCTCACGTTCCCCTCACGTTCCCCTCACGTTTCCCTCACGTTTCCTGTACACGGAGGTTTGCGACCTGTACGGACGCTACCACCGGGGCACGTCTTGCGACGTTCTCCGGGAAGCCTTCACCAGGTATCTTCACACTGACACTGCGTCCCCCTAGATGTCTGCGTCTGGTCAGGTTGCTGCATCGTGCTCCTGTCGGTCACTCACCCACCCGTCCCTCTTGTAGCACCACCGTCTAGGTCACCCTTCACTCCCACATGGCTAGACACCGTCTTGCCTCAGGTCTACCCTAAACCCTTGCTCCGCCGTGCACTCCTTGCGTCGAGGGTCGGCAACACGCCGCCCCTAATTTCTCCGCGCTTGCGCCAGCCACTGCGTCTCTTCAGACTTTGCACATGGACGCCTAGGGCCCTGCCCCGGTCTCTGGGCAGCGCCTGGAGCACTACTTCCTGGTGGTTGTGGACGACTTCTTCTGCTACACCTCGGTGTTTGCAAGGCCTTTGCTAGGATTTCAGGCATCCTGAGCCCTCAGGGCAGAATTTCAAAATGATAAAAAATGCCCTGATTTTTCATGACAAAATCTCATAGGCATCATGAATTTTCTGGGCACCAGCTGAAATCTATCCTGTCATGCCAAGGCAGTTTCTTTAAAACCCTGATTGGTTCCATGATTGCGCATGTACATTTTTTAATACGATAACATATACACGAGATCTGTAGATCGTCTCGTGCCTTGTCCTGCCAGCTCACAACTGTGCGTGCCATTCCGCGACACAGAGTTGGTTGGCCACTAACGTGGCCAGGGAAAATGATTGAAAGAGAACAACACCCCCACCCCCCACCCACCCACTCCCCCTCCCTCCTCCCATCCCCTTTCTCTTCCCTTTTGTATACGAGTCAGTGCGCTGCTCGATACTCATCCTGACGTTTCTTGAAATCCAGGGCAAAACAATACAATTATCTTGAAGTTAGAGGGTAAAATTTAGCATCATCCAAAAATTTCAGGGCAAATCCCCGACCGCATCCCGAAATCAGGGTAATCCGACTGTTTTTTCCCTGATATCAAAGTCCCTGTTCCCCGACATCGAAAGGCCAACGTGCCTGATGCTCTGATCCTGTGGATAGTGGCCACACGCGTCCACCGTGGGCTGCATGTGCTTCGTATATACTCTAACCGTGGGGGTGAAATCTGCTCCAACTGAATTGCTGAGTTCTGTCATGAGAAGGGCATCACCCAGTCCTACATGCTCCCGGACTCACCACAGCAGAATGGGGTTGCTGAGTGCCACATGGAGATCGTTCGTACCTCCATGGTCCATGCCTGTGCGTTCCACTTTATGTGGCCCTTTGAGGTTCGCTACGTCGCGCATTACCTAGACCTGTGGCCGCGTGTCTCACACCCAGAAGATTCACCGACCCTCTCTGGACCGGGTCCCCTAGTGTCGCGTCTACATTTCGTGTCTGTGGCTGCCTTGCACATGTCCTCGATCTTCGCGCGGACAAGCCCTCGGCTCGCTCCCTCCCCTGTGTCTTCGTTGGTTTTCCAGTTGACGCCCCTGAATCTGTGTTCTACCACCCTTCCACCCACCAGTTCTTCGACTCTCGCGACGTCACTTTTGACGAGTCAGTGTCCTTCTACGCACGTTATCCCCATCGAGGCACCCCAGTTCCCCCCCCTCCCCTCTTCCTCACTCCCACTCCTCCTCCTGGTCCTACTCCTCTGGTAGTTCCACCCCACCCAGGTCCTGCCCCGTCTGGTGTGTCTCACGCCACCCCTCCTCCCTCAGTTGGACCTCTTGTGCCGTCTCCTTCCCCACAGTCCCCTACGTCGTCTGCACAGTTCCCACAGCCTACGGTGCTAGCACAGTAGGACGTCGTGGACTATGGGGGTGCTGACGCTAGTGGTGCTGGTTCTGGAGGTGCTGACACTGGAGGTGCTTACTCTGGGGATGCTGACGCTGGTGGTGCTGGTGCTGGGGGTGCTGCTGCTGGAGGTCTGGAGGTCTGGAGGTGCTGGTTCTGGGGA